AAGAAGAAGAAGTACAACGCGCGGTTCCCGCCGGTGAGCACGTGGCCGGGCCCGGCAGAAACCGGCTGGGCTCCCGGGAGGCTCGGGCCCAGGCCCCGCGGCGGGGGCGGGCGCATCTCGGTGTTCGGGAGCCTGGAGGCCCCGCCCCCTTCCGTGCTTTCCCCTCGGCCGTGCGCCCCTCTCCCTTTCTTCGGGGATACCCTTCTTACGCCCCTCAACACCCCTTTCTGGGAGGAAGGCGACGGCGTCCGAACTCTGCCCTTTCTCCAGGCGCGGATCAAGAAGATCATGCAGACGGACGAAGAGATTGGGAAGGTGGCGGCGGCTGTACCTGTCATCATCTGTATCCTGCCGGGGGCTGGCTGGGTTGAGGGGCGTGGGGGAAGGAGGCAGCCCGGATGGCCGTGCGTGAGCTGGGGACACCCCCCCCCCCGTCTTCCTTGACGCTCCTCAGCGCGGGCGCTCGAGCTTTTCCTGGAGTCGCTGTTGAAGAAGGCCTGCCAGGTGACCCAGTGGGGCCCCCCCCCCCCCCGCGTCTTCCTTGACGCTCCTCAGCGCGGGCGCTCGAGCTTTTCCTGGAGTCGCTGTTGAAGAAGGCCTGCCAGGTGACCCAGTCCCGAAACGCCAAGACTATGACTACGTCCCACCTGTGAGTGGCGCGGAGCTGGGAGGGTCTGGTGAGGCCCTGCTCGGGGAGTTCCCACGCTTCGGGGAGGCGGTCCTGATAGGGAGAGAGGCTGCTGGGAGATCAGGGAGACCTCAAAGGCCGGAGGGTGTGTGCCATGCAGAGGGGACAGCCTGAGCAGCCTGGGAGGCCTGGCGGTGAAGATGGGCTGGGCGTTTTGCAGGCTGCATTCTGACATCCAGGGCCCCTCGCTGTCCCTCGCTAAGGGCCTAGCTGTCTGGGCCCTGCTTGTGCCATCCCCTCCCCACCTCTTCCAGGAAGCAGTGCATTGAGCTGGAGCAGCAGTTTGACTTTTTGAAAGACCTGGTGGCGTCCGTTCCTGACATGCAGGGGGACGGGGAAGACAACCACATGGATGGGGACAAGGGTGCTCGCAGGTAGGGGGCCAGGGCCTAGGTGTACAGGTGGGGAAGGCCAAGGCCACAGGGGTTGGGGGTGGCTGGGGGGTGGTCGAGGAGTGGGGAGACCTCTGGGCAGATGGACTGTACCTTCCCGAAGGGGTCGGAAGCCAGGCAACAGCAGCCGGAAGAACGGTGGGATGGGAAGCAAAGGCAAGGACAAGAAGCTGTCGGGGACAGACTCGGAGCAGGAGGTGAGTGAGGCAGGCCCCATCCCTCTGTTCTGCCCTGTGTGGATGGAAAGGACAGCCTGGTGTTAGGCTGAGCTGGCTGGAGGCCTGGTTCCATTCTTATTTGTGATCTCTTTGCACTTTGGTTTCTTTGTTTGCAAATTGGGGCTATGGGGGTCACTCCAGTCCCTGCTGTGCCCAGGGGTCCGGGCTCCCCAGTGGTGGGCCCATGCCTTTTCTTGTCAACTCTGACCCTTGCCGTGTTCACAGGATGAGTCTGAAGACACAGATACTGAGGGGGAAGAGGAGACATCGCAGCCCCCACCCCAGGCCAGCCACCCCCCTGCCCACTTTCAAAGGTAAGCAGCCCAGTGCACCAGGAGGGAGCTAGCAGACTCCCCAAAGCTGACTTGTCCTTCCTAGCCTCCCCGGCCACTTGGTTTGGTTGGTTGTAGCAAATTTGGAGGATGGGAGAAGAGTCACTGAGAGGGGCTTAAAGGCAAGAGACTGTTCTCTCAGAAGGTCCTGTCACCAGCCTGGCCAGGGGTAGTGGGCAGAGCCTGGCAGGGGCTATGTGACCTGCTCTGGGTCTTTCTCTTCCCTGGGTCTTGGCTCCCCATTGGTATGGAGGGCGGTGGGCTCCACACTGCCTCTTGCAAGGGCAGGGTGGGACTCAGTGGGCAGGAATGGGCACCGAGGGTGGCCTGATTTTCCTCTCCCGCTTTCTGCCTTGCAGCCCCCCGACACCTTTCATGCCCTTTGCCTCTACTCTGCCTTTGCCTCCAGCGCCCCCAGACCCCTCAGCACCCGATGCAGAGGATGAAGAGGATTATGACTCCTAGCGCCCTCCGCCCCCCAGGCCATACCCTCTTTTAGTTGCTCTGGGGGGAGGAGAGAAGATAGAGCTGTTCTTAAATTTATTAAGAAAAAAACAAAATAAAAGGGAATGTCAATGTGTTCCAGCCTCCATTTAGGGCTTTGTGGCTGCTTTCCCACTCATGTGCCTGCCTCCCCCACACTGAGTGGGGGCCAGGACGGTGGCGGACCGGGCAGCAGCAGAGTGGAGAGGGAGGTCAGCTGGGGAGGCTGGAGGCCGTGCTCTGCAGCGCAGCACTGGAGGTGCTGATGGGAGGAAAGTGGGAGAGCGGCCCAGGGCCTGGGCCAGCAGGTGCTGGATGTGCTGGGGGACGCTTGTGTCACTGTGCTGTGTGGCCTGGGAAGGTTCCTGCCCCTCTCCGTGTGGCCTCCTCATCTCGGATGTAGACTGTATGAGTTCTTTTTTGTTGCTTATAACAAAATACCTGAAACTGGGTAATTTATAAAGAAATAAAATTTATTCCTTTTGGATGCTGGGAAGTCCAAGTTCTAGGGAACACATCTGGTGAGGGCCTTCTTGGGGTGGTGACTCTCCATAGAGACACAGCATGTCACATGGTGAATGGCTGAGCAGGTTTAAAGCCCATCAGAACCACACCCATGACCACCCATTATCACCTCTTCAAGGCCCCACCGTTCTTCTATTTTTTAAAATTTATTTTTAATTAATTTATTTTTTAAAATTTTTATTGAATCAAAGTTGATTATACATATTTTGGGGGTTCAACATTGAGATATGTTGATCAAATCAATATTACTAGCATATATATTGTTACAAATCGTAATTATTCTTTATGCCTCTTGTCCAATTCCTCCCCATCCCCTTCCCCGCCGCCATAATCACCCTAGATTTCTTCTCTCCCTCTGAAAGAGTAATGGTTACTCTGTTGATTTGCTGCCCAAATGATCGGTCCAATGCTGAGAGACATCATCGGGTCCCCCAATACTATCATAGAGCAGATGCCTCTTCTGTCACTATGAAATGGGCTCTGTGGAGACAGACATCCTCCTCCTTTTTTTTTTTTTTTATCTCTGCTGGTGATTCTTCTTTGTCAATGCACTCCAGTGGCTGGTGGACCATCTGCGTGGTGTTTGTGGCATCTAGCTGCCTTCATGGCAGCCATGGTTATCGTGGTGGCTGTGATGGGCCACCCACATGGAGGAGATGATTCTGGCATGCTCCTTGGTGCTGACTGTGTGCCTGGTTGTGAGGAGTATCTGATCCCGGGCTCCAGACCCTGGGACCCCCAGGCAGGACCCGAGGCGCTGGTGAGG